CCCTGCAGCTGTTAGACCACATAACTAAACTTGATGAATATGTTGTAGTAACTCTGGAAAATCCCACAGTTCATTTTTAGTTGTTGTTCCTCTGTTGCTTCTTCTCCCTGACCGTCTCTTTCATCCTTTTCCCCTCTTCTCCTCCCCAACATTCTGCTCCAGTGAGGTTCAAGGGAATAACTTATAAACTGGTCAATCAGGTAACACACACACACGCAAACACACATAGATTCTGACTGGCCATGAACAAAGCCTGACACAATCAGGACTGGTCTATCCCTCCCTCTCATTTCTACATGTCACATTCACCGTGGTGCTCTGTCCTCTCCTTCCCCTGACATCTCTTCACCTACTCTTTGTCCAGTTAAACTAATATACTTTTAATGCAGCACATGTATGATCATATCTTTCCTTCGTATCTAAAGCCATTAACATGCATTGTACTTTCAAGTATTTCCCAAAAGCTGTAATATACTGTATACCCCAGGTCCAGTATCTCTGCTTCTCTGCCTTCAATGAGATGCAGGAGTGGAAAAAGCTGTTGACACCAGATTTGTCCAACTTCTGAGATACACCAGCTTTACTTTTGACATTCACACAGCTTCAGCCTTTAAAGAAGCTACAGTATTTCCCTTCTGTTTTGTTTCCACTTTAGCAAAAGTTGAGAACACTTGTTCAGAAAAAGTCTGTGTAGGCATCGTTTGTGTGCATGCTGCAAATCTACCTCATGTAGATACTTCTTTCACAGTTTTGCAGTGACTATTATAACTCTTTGAATGACCTGAATAACATAAATGCTTTAATTTCATTTCCATCTGAGAAATGGAAATGTGACTTTCAAAAAGTGGGCACAAAAATATGTAGCCTACATGTGTATGTCTGGTTGTTGGTGTACATCTATTAGCAGACAAAGTGCAGCAAGTGATGGCAATAACAGTATGTCAGATACCATCCCAGAGAAAGTCTTTTCACCCTTTTGCAGCGGTGTCAAAAGCCTTGTTTTTGCAGAAGGAAATTGCTGTGCCATTGAAGAACTCCTGACAGCTCATCTTTCTCTGGCTTCCTCCATCTCCTTGCCATCTTTTATTTGCTTCAATAAATACTGTACATCCTCCTCGCGGTGCCCGTCGCTGTTCCTTGGTTCATTCTATCAATCAAGGACTGTGACACTAGGGAAATGAGTGGGCTGTAGAGACGCAGGTAAATGTTGGATGAGAACACTTTGACATGAATTTGTTAAGGCAAAACACAGACACTTGCACACTACATTAAGGCTACACCCCCACCATTTCTCTTTGTGGTGTGGGTCCGTGTTAGGGTAAAATTTTTAACTGGTTTGAAAAATTAACACCAAGTCATTGGTCCAGAGTTCTGTTTTTTACCTTCTCTTTCTTCCCAAGGTACAAATGCAAAGAATATTAAACTCACAGACAAAAGGATGGTCCCGTCCAGTCCACAACCCAAAAAACCCAACTGAACCAAACAACAAGTTTAAATACTGCCTGGTCAAACCATCTAGTAAATACCTAGGGTGAAATCAAAAACCATTTTAAAGTGCTGGTGACATTAATTTTTCCATTAAGGTTTTAAAATGTAACCTACTACTCAGGGTAGAGTTCATTTTATTAGGGCAGGCAGGTAAACAAAATGCAAAAAGAAAACTCATTGCTTCTCCCTCCCATAGTCCCACATGGTACAGGCCAAACTGTCTACACCTGGTGGAACAAGGAGCATTCATGTCTGCTTGTTCATGAGAGCGCCATCCTCAACAAGGAAGTGGACCTCAAAATAAACAGTGATTAGAAATAAGAACAACCATCCTTGACTTGAATGGCCTTTGCGCTGAAGAAAAATCTTTATTACTCAGTTTTACAGTTTGTCATTTGACTGTTTGTAGCTTGACATGACTTGTACAAGAAATTGTGCAGATCTCCCGTGTGTTAAGTTAAACAGAACAATGTGTGTGACACCACTTGTAAACAATCAGCTACTGTATAAGCTAGTGCTGTAATAAAAGATAGTGTTATAGTATAACATGGAATGGTAAAATACAAGTCCCATCTGTCCATCCATTATCTATGCCACTTGTCTACTAGCAGGTGCAAATTCTAGCTTAGAAGTACAGTATAAACAACACAATGATGTCAATATGTGTTTCATGTCTGTGTGTTTAAGGAGACAATTAAATATATTAACCTTGGTCATACTTTAAGTAAAAACAAAATAACAGTCAAAACTAATGTGAGCATTTGGGGTCAGTTTACAGAAACTCTCCAAAGCCATTAAAATGTTTAATTACTGAGCTGGCTGAAAGAATCCAATCTCCAGAGCAAACGAAGCATGGGGCCTTGATAACATCACAAATGAGGTGCTGAAATTGCAGCCCTTCTGGTCTTTAAGATGCAATTTTCACATCGTGGTACTTAGCTTCCGAGCTTTCCCAGAAGTCAACACTGAAGGACTAATCGCCTTATAATATTCTAACCTTCTTTAGCTGTGTAAACACTGAATTTCTCCACAGAAGACAGTTGAAGTGTGAGAGTGGAGCACACATAAAACACGCTGATAAAAGGCAGGGCATAGAATTACTGTGCTATCTAGAGGAGTGATTAGACCAAAGAAGAGAGAGGACAGAAGAAGAAAAATATGCAATAATTACCCCTATTCTGTTTCCATGGTGATGCATATTTCTGCCATTTTTTTCAGCCTCTTTGTTTCTCACTCTCTCTTTCTTCCCTCCTGTTGTGACATTCAGAACGGAAACAGGGACACTGTGACACAGACTCTCACACCAACACACAGACTTTATTTTATTTTGCCACTTCAAGCTACGACTTGATAATATAATCAGCACTTCAGAGTCAATATGAGCTGCTGAAAACATCCTGCCATGACTGCAAAACACTGGAACATCAAGGTTTGGACTGCACTTTACCATTAGAGGCAACAGACACACCTTGTCTATTACTGGATGTTTGTATGTATCTAATACAAACTAAAATGTCAGTAAAAACTGAAACAAATTTAACTGCTCACTTGCTTTTTTCACCTTCTTACACAAACGCAAAACACATATTTAGTGTCATTTTTTAGAAGTGATTGCTTTGTTATTGATTTCTGGAAGACACTGTGCACACATGCATGCATGTAGGTTAATGTCTGATCCATGGTGTGGTATAGTCAGTATGTGTATTCTGCAGTAGAAGCTCAGAAACCCAGTGCCAGTAGCTGCTGACTGAATTTACAGCCACAGTAAAAATAATCTGGACTGGACCCTATAGGAATGGATTTTACTAGCCCTCCCACACTCTACATTTTTCCATCCATGAGTGTTTCCTTGTTTGGTTCGTGCAAAAGTGAGGACATCTGAAACTAATCCAATCAAATTAATGTACGACAGAACAGAAAACATGGAGGTGGTGAGCGACTGATGTGCGTTTGTGACTCACCACCTGAGACAACTGAGCTCCTCAGCAGGGTGTGAGACACCAGTTTTGTGTTGTGCATACCCCTAGAAAAAAGTACCCTGGTGTTATGATGGTAATGAATGGTATTTTCAGTTTTACCTTGGTACAAGTAATTTACCATGGTACTGCCCACGCTCTTACAAAAAAGTACCACTGTAGTACCATAAAAAAATTGGCATGGTAATTTGGTCACTACCATGGTATTAATATAAGAGAATTAACCATCATGGCAGTGAAATTACCACACCATTATTCACCAATAGTACAACTGCACCATGGTATTGTGCTGTAATTCTCTTGACCACATTTGTCACACATCATTGAGCTGATAAACAAGCTACCATTAGATAAAGAGCTATATAAATAAGAAAGCTGAATAAAGAATCCAAATTAAACTTTAAATGCAAACAATTTATTAAATACTAAATGATAAAGCCAGCAATTCCAATGAATAGCTCTCCCTCCCCATTATCACAGTGACACAGCTTATAAATTAAACAAAAAAGCTAATAAGAACACACAAAAAGATTTCCTGGTCACAGCACAAATTGATGGGGCACAAAGTACTATTTGTTTTTTGCACCTTTTGTGGTCTTAGTGCTAAAGCCATGTTAAAGCAAATAGTAACAGAATATAAACCATTGTGGTCTGACCCGGTTTAGTGGATTTACCTGCCGTGACATTTAAAGAAGAGCCAGTGAGGTATTCCCACTGCATTTCTTCCCAGAGGAATCTCAGAGTGGATTCTGTTTCCATCTCTTTCGACATGTCCTTGAACATGACACCACTCAAAGCTACTCTGACCTCCCCTGTGAAACCCATAAATGCTTTATATTCTATCCTCACCACATACTCGTTGAATTTGTTGCTGCAGCTTTTCACACTTTAAAAGCTTTACTCTTTACTTTAGTTTGAAACTTTTTCTCCTTAGTTTTATCTGACTTTAGGTTGTATCTTTGTTAAGACTGGTGTTTGACAGCAGTATCAGATGCATAGCCTGTGCAGTGTTATGAACTGTATCCTAGTGTTTTGGGTATTGAAAGGTTTATAGGAAAATGAAAATAGACTGGCGGACAGGTAGTGTGAGCCAAGTATTTACTTTACAAAGATCTCAAAAACATGAAATCTGAGCTGTTTATGTTATATTAAAAATATCTACTCATTTTATGTACCTTGATCTTAAAATAAAGCTTTAATTGAGTTCACAGTATGTCAGTGGTTTGATATCTGGCTGTGAAAACAGTTTTTCAGTTGAAGCGTGACAGGCACTTTGGAAGCTTTTTCCCTGGTGAGGAAAGTAACATTTCACTTGATATTTTCCTGTATTTTCAGCTTGTTTATTCATTTCACAATCGCTTCAATTCCTAGGAGCTAAAACAAGTAAAATGTTCTTGCCTCAGAAAAGTCTTTCAATTACCAATTTGGGAAGGAAACAAGAGAAGATAACTGGAGGAACTGGAAGACAGTTTTATTACCATAGTTTACTGCCAGGGAAATGTGGGATGGCAAATAATTGCCTTGCTATTGTTACAAACCAAGATCCTACATTTAAAGTAGAAATTTTGTCGACAAGATATATGATCGGTTTGATAGAGTCTATGGACAATTAAACTGAAGCTACAGCTGGTAGACAAAAACACAACAAATTCAGGTTAAACTGAGCAGTTAACGCTAACTTTTACTTGAAAAAAACTTTGTAAATGTCAATAAAATAAAAAAGTACTTTTCCCATCATGTTCTTTGTATTCCAGCATAGATATACTGTATTTAGCATTTCCTTGAAGTAACACTGCCTTGAAATAAAAGTTACCTTTTCTGCCTAACTGATCTCACATTACTTCAGCTTCTGTTATCTACCCATGTATCCTCATTCAGCTGCAAATATCTCATAATGTAAAAGCAACATGCACTCTGAATTCATGACATTTTCTTGTGATTCATACCTTACTGTTCATGCTAGTCTTAAAATATGACTTGATCTCTTAGCATCTTAGTGTACAAAGACTGCAAAATAAAATAGCTTTGCTGTGATTTCCCTAACTGTTTCTTCATGCCCAGCCCTTCTACTCCCTTAGAGAGTCATTTGATTGAGATGTGGAACACAGTGTCAGTTTGGTCGATAACCTTCCTTCTTCCCTCCAGTGCCTGAGCAATTAACCAGCAGCATCAGATGAAGACAAAAGATCATTATGGAGGCTAAAACCTAATGATCTGCTCTGAATGTATGTTAGTGAGTTTGTGTTTTTGTATCTCACCTTATGGTATTAAATGTGTAGGTTGTGCTGCTATGGACAAAGAAAAGAATTTGACTTGGCTGTGTTTCTCTAACTCCATTCCTCTGATCTTATACTTTCCACGCCTGCACTTGCAGTTTAATCAAACTGTTGCAGAGATTTTTATCCCTACTATCCTGAGGGGCCATTACACTGCATTTCAATATAGTGGCAAAATGCAGATCTTTTCAACACCTCTGGGATGCAGCACATTCACAGTCTGTCTCTTTCCAGCATTATGTGCTTCAGACAAGCCAGCTCTGACCCTGCACTAAGCTCCCAGCATCTGCCTGTCTCTGGGGTTCTTGGCCCAGACTTCAAATCCTGGGTGACTCTGATAGAGCTGGAGAACAAAAAGTGGAGGAGGGTGGATCAGCATGTGTACGAGTGTGAATTACTGGGACCTCAAAAGAAGTAAATTGGCACCAATTTATAGGCTTGATTTCCACCCATGGAGAGTGACAATTGTAGCTTTAGATATGGTTTGACTGTAAAATCTAAAGCTGTCTATCTTCAGAGAGGTTTTGTTATGGGGGTATTATGTATCTTTTTAGTGCCTCAGCTGAAAGTACACATTCTCTTTGAATTTCTATGCAAATTAAATTATGGCACATACAGCACGCTGCAAGCTAACGGCCTCTTCAAGTGCTGACTCCAAAAGCACATTTCAGCTGCTAATCCACTGAGCCCGATACCTCTGGACTCCAAAGAGCCTTGTATAACTGAAGTGTTCCCTGATCTGATCTGACCTCCTCCAAGTCCAACCTCCCTGCAATCAGTCTGATGGACGCAATAGTACCAGGAGCAATGCAGGAACACATAGAGACTAGCACTATGTCTGTGCGGTCAATACTTCACATCAACTATTTATTTATTCATGTATTTCCTTTAGTGAAAATAAAGGAATATCATATTGTATGTACTGTATGTTTGTAAGTGAAACAGACAGACTGATGGGGGAAAGAAGAATGAGAAGTGGCCAGCAATCAGTGAAGGATATACGACCTCTGTGGTTTTACAACATGGCAGGAGACTGATGTTGGCGAGAAATAGGGGTCAGAGATCATGGGGGTGTGTATGTGTGTGACCGATGGCTCCCCATGGCAGACCATTACTGCCCACAGGGAACAGTGGTGAGAGGTGCAGAGAGCACAGGGGAAGATGGTTGGTAACAAGAGCTGCAAAGCTGAAAGAGGATGCGGTGAAGAAGAGGAGAAGATGTTCTGAGAAGTGCCCAGAGAGTGGTAGAATGAGACAGATGAAGAAAAATGAAGAAGCACAGAGCAGGAGACAGATGAACATGGGGGAAAGGGAGGAAGTGAGAGAAGATGAGAGAGAGTGAAAGATCTGTCTGCGTGTGTTGACTTGGACTTTAAAATGTCAACAGCACATGAAATTCTTACCAATCTCACACAATTGTGTGTTCAGATTGTTTTTTTCCCCCCTTTCTTCCTTTGCCTTCCTCTCTGCAGGCCGTTAGCCACACCTTCCTCCTGTCTCTGCAAGCAGCTGTGGAAATACAAAGCAACAAGGTCTGTAAGAGACTGTAGGTTTAGTCAGACAAATTTCATTTTGCTTAGAGATAAACATCCGAGGCTACTGCTGCTGAAGGATTCAGTGGCTATTGCAGAGCATATTCAGATACCATCAATTTTAAGGACACACCAATTAAAAACCAGAGGATCCATGTCATGTCTGTCTCAACATGTATTTTATACATCTTTAAAACAAGTCATATCATGTAATATAATGCAAACCAATGCAATTACACACAATAAAACTTCACAAGCCTCTTTATTCTACCATCATGTCTGTTGTAACTTTTTATTTCATTAGATTTGTTGGATTTTATTATATTTTCATGTTGGTGTGTGCCACATTCTGCACATTGAATCCTATGATTAGACTAGTTGACATAAAGTTACAGTAGGCATGATAACGATAATGATAATGACCCAAACGCAGAGTAGCAGGCTGGCAGATAATGCTTAAACAGGCAGAGTGAACGTCAAAAGGCGAGCTAACAACCCAACCAAAACAAAAATCTAAGGGGTTAAGCCAAAACAGAATCTAGAGACTAGTAAAGTCCAAACTTGAGGAAACAGAAAAACCTTAAATACATGGAAAGCTAGAATATCGAGGGAAATTAAAAGCAGCACTAAAGATAATCTACCACAGAACAGAGGAAACACACTAGTATAAATCCTGGTGAGGTAATTGGAGACCGGTCTGAGAGAGATGGGACTGTTTAACAAGGAACTGAACAACAGTGTGGGTGGAGCTGGAGAGAAAATCCAGGGCGACATGATGCTGGATAGGAGAAACATCCAGTACAAAACAAGGCCAAGAAATCATGGAGAGGCAGGAACAACAATCCGACTGACAGCTGTCTCATACTGGCAGTATATTATACTGTATGACACTCGTAGCTACATTTTCTCACAAGTGGACAAAAGTATTCATAGAAAAACATGAGCAAGCTCCACTGATTGCTAAGAAGTGAAACATGAAGAGAATTACAACACCTTGCTTTGGGCTAACTGACAAAATGAAACAAATCAATACCTTAGCCCGAGGTTAACTATGATATGGGGCCTGCAGGAAAACCTTGAGCTATGTAGTTCTGAAGGGTGCTAGCAAAAGAAGAATATTATGAATAACTTAGATAACTGTGAAAGACCAACAAATGAATGTACTTCCTCAAATTGAAGGTGCAGAAACTGCAGGGCTAGGTTAAATTTGATACAGGCTGAAGAAAAGGAAGCTGTAGACCAAACAAAGTTTTAATGGATTGTTTGCATTCAGGAAAAATAAATTAAAATAAATAAAAAAACTCCCTTCATTCACAAGTAGTCTACAATGTAAAACATTATTTTTCATTTTTAAATAACTAACTATGATTGAGCATCGGTTTTCTCCCCTTGTCTTCTGAGACTTTTAATCATCTCCAAAGGTAACAGGATAATGTGCATGATGAAAATATGTTTACATTCTAAAGGGCATTTTGCCATCTGAGCTTTTGCTTTGTTTAACTGAGATGTGATGATGATTCTATATCTCCTGTTGTTGCGTCTCTGGCTGTCTTGGGAGATGACAGACACCAACAGAGAAATGAGGCAAACCCCAGAGACTCTTCACTGTTATGACTTAACTTGTGTTGTTTCATCTCTCCACTGATGTTTTCCTGATTCATTTTTGGCTCAAAATGACCTCCCACCTTTGCCGTCTGTTTTTCCATTGTATATACAAACCTCAACACAAATACTCTATAGTTCTGTAAAAATAAGAGATAGTCCTACAGGTGTCACTGAAAGCAACAACTTATCAGTGCAGTCATATCAACCTTTTCCTTTCATGGCCATTATCTCACACTGGTCTTTTCCATTTCTTCTGCCTCCTCACCCTGCCAACAGAGCAACACTTCTCAGATTGATTGAGTCATCCACCCCATTTCTCTGCTTCATCAGTCTCTTGCCTTTTGCCTAACGTTCCTCCTGCTTCTCATCTAAGTCCTCTTGCCCCCTTTGTTATCCTCTCCCTCAGTAGCTTGTGCTCTCCACTGCCCTCCTACCTACAGTAGGAACCACTACAGTGCTCTGTTGCCATGACAGCAAAGGATAATGTGGAGGCAAGAGATCAGCAAACTTGTTTTTAACCTTTTGTTTGTATGTATAGGCCTAAATCACACATACACGCACACACTTGCACTTCTGTCTTTGTGAGGACACTCATTGACATAATGCGTTCCCTAGCCCCTTACCCTAACACTTAACCATCAGAACTAAATGCTTAACCCTAAAACCAAGTCTTAACCCTCAAAAAGGCGTTTCAGAAAGTGAGGACAAGCCAATTGGAGCCAATCCCAGCTGACACTGGGCGAGAGGCGGGGTACACCCCGGACAGGTCGCCAGTCTGTCACAGGGCTGACACTTAGAGACAGACAACCACACTCACTCCTATGGGCAATTTAGAGTCACCAATCAACCTAAACTCTGTGTCTTTAGACTGTGGGATGAAACCAGAGAGAATCCACACAGGCTCAGGGAGAACATGCAACTCTACACATAAAGGCAGCGGGTTGGGGCGACAGCACAAACCACTGGGCCGCTGTGCTGTT